ATGTCTTCTTTGTCAGTTTACCTTTTCAGCATCATATAATGATGTCCTTTGTCTCATATGATGTTTTTCATCATAATGTCTATTTTATCAGAAATTAATATTGCCACTCCTGCTCTTTTGGTTACCATTGGCTTGGTATCTTTTTTTCCATCCCTTAACTCTTAATTTGTTTTTATCTTTGTGTCTAAGGTGGGTTTCTTGTAGGCAGCATATCGATGGGTCTTCTTTTCTTATCCGGTCTGCCACTCTCTTTCTCTTGATAGGTGCATTTAGTCCATTCACAATGAGTGTACTTAGTGATAGGTATGAATTGATTGCTGTCATTCTGTTGTGTTTTTTTGTTGTGTTGTTGGTGTTTCCTTGGTCCATACATTTTTCTGTGCTGAGTTCAGTTTGTTGCCTGATGCTTTCTCTCTTTTCTTCTTTATTGTTGATTTTGTGCTTATTAAACCCTTATGTTTGCCTTCCTTCTGGATTTGCTCAGCAGACTGTTAATTTTCTCTGTGGTTACCTTGGAGTATATTCTTGTCTCTATATTTTTAGAACAGTGCATACTGTGAAGACATTGTCCTGTTTTCCTCTCCATTTGGAAGCTTGTACCTAAAAGTTTTATTCCCTCTGATAGGTTAGTTGCTGTTGTCGTGTGCTGATATACTTCCTTGGTTTTTAGTGTACAATGTTTTATAGTCTTATTTTGAGTTTTTATTTCTGATTTGGTTTTAGTGTTGATGCCACATATCCTGATTTTGTTGTCTCTGTTGTGGGTTCTCTATTGGAAGAACTCGCTTAAGCGTTTCTTGTAGGGTTGGTCTAGTTTTTACAAAATCTCTTAATTTCTGTTTGTCTGAGAATGCCTTGATTTCACCCTCATATTTGATGGTAATTTGGCTGGATATAGGATTCTTGGTTGGAAGTTCTTTTCTTTCAATGTTTTATATATGCCATCCCATTGCCTTCTTGCCTGAATGGTTTCTGCTGAGTAATCGGAGCTCAGCCTGACTGTTTGATTATTATAAGTAATATTTCTTTTGTCCTGGGCAGTTCTCAAAATTTTTTGTCTTTGGTTTTGGAGAGTTTGATTATAATATGCCTCAGTGTTTTTCTCTTGGGATCTATCTTGTGTGGGGTTCTGTGCCCTTCTTGGACAAATATCTTTTCTTCCTTCATGATATGGGGGAAGTTTTCTGCTAGCAGGTCTTCCACAATTTTCTTGGTGTTTTTTTTCTGCCTCTTCTTGTTCTGGAATTCCAATGAATCTTATGTGATTTCTTGTCATGCCATCCCATATAATTCTTAGGTTCTCTTCATTTCTCTTAAATCTTTGTTCTGATTTTTCTTCATACAGGGTGGTGTCCAAGGATTTGTCTTCTAGTTGGGATATGCGTTCTTTAGCCAGTTCTAACCTACTCTTTTCTGCTTCTGCTGTGTTGTGTAATTTTGTAATTTTGGTATTCATCTTCTAGATTTCTAACTACTGTTTTTATATGAATTCTGATTGTATATTAATCTTGTTATTTTGTTCTTAAATGATTTTCCTTAGTTCTTCTAGGGAACTGTCTGCGTTCTCCTTACTTCTGTTTGGGGTTTCCTTTGGCTCTTGTAAAGCTCTATAAATATATCTTCTAAATTTCTTCTCAGATAATTCTATTGCCTCCTCTTCCTCCATGTTTAATGAGACCTTTGTTTATGGTTTTGCTTCTAATGCCTTGTCCTGTTTTTTTGTTTGATTTGAGGTTGCCTGTTGTTTCTTAGACATTTTGAGGTTGCCTTTAACTGTTGGTTATGGATTGATTTATTTTGTCTTCGTTTTATGTTTTAATATTTTGAAAAGGTGAAGATGGTGTATTTTATTTTTTTAGTTATTAATTCAGCTATGCTAGCATAGTGGCTAAGACACTTGCCTGCTAACCAGACGGCTGGCGGTTCAAACCCACCAGCCACTCCTCGGAAGGAAGGTTGGGCAATCCTACTTCCGTAGTGATACTGCCTCGGAAACCCAAGGAGGGGTCGCTATGAGTCGGGTTTGACTCGACGGCACATAATAACAACAACAAAAGGTTGCTCTGCAGTTTTCTTTGTGATGGTGGAATCACTGTGTGGAATGTGGATATGGGTTTCTGTTTGTCATAAAGAGGGTTTAGAGTTTGAACCAGGGGGTATTATGGTGGCTGAATGTGGTTTCTTCTGTTGGGTGAGTGAGGTAATTGGCAGAGAAGGTGGGAGCAGAAGAGTGGAAAAAGGGAAGTTCCCTGTTGCTAGGGGCGGTTTCTAAGGCTTTGAGCGGGCTGCTAATGACGCTGTAATGTTACTCCCAGGCTCACAGCTCAATTTCAGCAAAGACTCCAGTTGTTAGGGGGGTCGCCACTTTCTGCCTGGCTAAGACACACTTAAAAACCCCACTTCTGAGTCCCCTTGGTGTCAAAAAGCTGACTCAAGACAACTGTCTGGCTCCACGATCTGCCGCAGGTGTTCCTCTCTGGGCCTGGTTGCCCGCGGCACCGGCCCAGACCACGATCCATCTTGGGAGTTTCTCTGTGGGTCCACCCACCCACGGAGCCAAAGATTCACTCAGTTTCAGTGACACTAGAGTCAAGAGAGTGCCTGCTAGTAACCTGTGGTCTCAATATTACTGATAAAGTTAAGTGTAGGCCTCCCAGTGCCAGTAAGCTGACCCAAGCCTGATCGGTGATCTGCCGTAGGGACACCTCCCCAGTCCCACCCTCCTGCACCACCAGTGGACTCTGCTTGGGTTTCAGTGGTACTGGACATGCCTGTTTGCACCTAGCCAACCCAAGTTACCAATAAAATCAGGTACTGAAGGTAGATCCTTGGGGTGATCGGTGGTATGCTGGTGTGGATGCTGGTATGCTGGTGTGGTGTGTCTTCTTCATTAACCCAGGGAAGTCTTGGGTGGCCTTTCTCACCTGCCAGTTGGCGCTCCCCCAGGGAAGTCTCCAATGGCCTTTCTCGGCTGCCTATCGGCACTCCACAGGATAGATCTTCTGATCTTGTTATTTTTTCCCATCCCTTTCTCCTTTCTAATTCTACTCACCTGAGTTTGGTATACTCTGACTCAGTGAGCTGTTCAGAGCACCAGAATCCCTAATTCAAACTACTCTACCTAGTTTTTCAAGCACTAAGATGCTAGAAGGAATTAGTGTTGTGATTACTGATGAGACTCCATTTTGAATCCAATAGTCTGTCTTTTAATTGGTGTATTTAGACCATTCAGGTTGAAAGTGATTTGTTGAAATTATTGAATTAACTATTATATTCTTTTTTTTTTTTTGGTCCTCTACTCTTTTTCTGCCTTCTCTGATTTCAATAGTGTTTTATATGATTCTATTTTCTCTCCTTTTTCAGAATATCAGACAAACTTCTTATTTTTTTAACTGGTTGTCCTAGAATAAGTTAACTTTCAAATAATACCATACTGTCTTATGGGTAGTACATGTATTCGTAGTTCCTCCCTCCTATCCAATGTGTTGCCATCATTCATTTCACTTATCTATAAGCTATAACTGCTGAATACATTGTTGCTTTAATTATTTTGCACAAATTATTATCTGTTAGATGAATTAAGAATAAGAAAAATAAAAAAATAAAAGATCTTATTTTAGTTTCATTATTCTTTCTCTAATGTTTTTCCTTTATTTATGTAGATCTGAATTTCTGACCTATATGATTTTCCTTCACTTTGAAGAACTTTTAGGATTTCTTGCAAGGCAGTTAGTTCTATTGGTGACAAATTCCCTCTTTTTTTTTTTTTTTTTAGAAAAGTCTTTATTTCTCCTTCACTTTAGAAGGATAATTTTTTGGATACAAAATTCTAAATCTCTTTGAACAATTTAAATATTTCATTCTACTCTCTTCTTGCTTGCATGGATTCTGAAGATAAATTCAATATAATTCTTATCCTTATCCTTCTATACATACAGTACTTTTTATTCCTCTGACTTTGAAGATTTCCTATATGTATGAGTCTCTGAGGTTGAATATGATACGGCTAAGTGTAGTTTTCTGGTATTTCTCCTACGTGGTATTCTTTAAGCTTCCCTGATCTGTCGCTTGGTGTCCTTAATTTTTATTCATTATTCCTTCAAATTGTTCTTACATTCCTTTCTATCTTCTTCTGATGTTCCCATTATGTATATGTTACACCTTTTGTAATTGTCCTATTTATATTAAAAGTTTTAACTAAAGACTCTATTAGAACTTCACCTCTATAATTGTCTTCCCCAAAGCCAAACAGACCCAGAAAGACATCAGAAAAATTTCATTTGAGAGGCATCATACATACATGACCTGTACTCAAAACTATCAAACTCGTTGTAAGGAAAGTCACATACTTAGGAGATATGACAACTAAATTAATGTATCCTGGAACATTAAGAAAAATTAATGAAATCTGAATCAATGTGTTTAGTTACCACACCCAATCTTGGTTCCTTATTTATCATAAATGTACCATAGTTATGTAAAAGTTAACAATAGGGGAGACTGAAAATAGAGTATACCAAAACTCACTACTATTCCTCCAACTTTTGTAAATCAAAAACTATTCCAAAATAATAATCTATTAGAAATATTGTTACAGTTATATTTTGTCCTCTTAATCTGAAGTAATTATAAAATGTTTGAACTTACTAACATTTTACAAAAGATTTTTTACATGTTTTTTCTTAGTTAACATCACAATAGTCTTACAAAGCAGGCAGCACAGGTATTACTCCTTTAACATATGAGAAAATTGATCAGTAGGGCATGACTGCCAAAGGTGGTAGCCCTGGGGTCCAGAGATTTTTCCTCCATCATAAATTGATAATGGGGGTCAAGGCCCAGCTATTTTGTGGTAGGTATTAAAGTTTCATCTGAGACTAGAAAAACATTTCCTAAGGTAGATATGTTCATTTCACTAAGTAAAATTTAGGCACCAAAAGATACTTTGATAAAGTCTTTAATATCTGGAGTCCTTTTGTCATTTTGGTATGTCTTCCAAGGTTCTGTGGTGATCTACGTTGATCATCTTCTTGGTGAAGGAGCCTTTGCCCAAGTCTATGAAGTTACCCAAGAAGATGTGAATGATACCAAAAATAAACAGAAATTTGTTTTAAAGGTAAATAATATGAAGAATTTTGTATACAATATAGAATGAGTTTTAGAACTTGAGTTTTCCAGCTTCTTTCTTTCTTAAAGTGATGCTTTCATTCAGGTCTACAAGCAGCAATTAAAAAACAAAACTAGTGTACAAAGATTCAGAATTGTTTTGCTGGTAAAATTATCTTACAGGAAGTCCCATACTGCAGCAACAGCTCAGACAGTTCATAGCTTGCCATCACTTTCAATTCCAGTCTGTTGTTGTGCTGCTTTCTTGCTATCATTTCCCAGAATGTGACTCTGGATATGAATGTCACCTACCTGATTTGCAGGTCCAGAAGCCTGCCAACCCCTGGGAATTCTACATTGGAACCCAGCTAATGGAGAGACTAAAGCCAAGTATGCAACACATGTTTATCAAATTCTATTCTGCCCACTTTTTCCAGAATGGCAGTGTATTAGTAGGCGATCTCTACAGCTATGGAACATTATTAGTAAGTATATTCATTTTGGGATGGAAATACAAATTTGAAGTACAAAGTTGAAGTAATTGGAGCTTCTGTTGGAGGATAGGAACAAAACTAGATTAAAAATTTCACTAATCTTGCGCAACCCACTAAGGATTCCATTTTCCGTTGTTTCTAGAATGCCGTTAACCTGTATAAAAATACCCCTGAAAAAGTGATGCCTCAAGCTCTAGTCATCTCTTTTGCTATCAGAATGCTCTACATGATTGAACAAGTCCATAACTGCGAAATCATTCATGGAGACATTAAGCCAGACAATTTCATACTTGGAAACAGGCAAGTGTTACGCATGTGATGGGGTTCTTCTCTTAACATTTCCTTATTAATCTTTTATTATTTGTTTTCATGCTATCTGGAACTTGTTTGTGTTTAATACAGATTTTTAGAACAGGACAATGAAGATGATGATTTATCTGCAGGCTTGGCATTGATTGACCTGGGTCAGAGTATAGATATGAAACTTTTTCCAAAAGGAACTACCTTTACAGCAAAATGTGAAACATCTGGTTTTCAGTGTATCGAGATGCTCAGTAAGAAACCATGGACCTACCAGGTATAGAACTAAAATGAGAGGTTTGGAAATTTTTTTCTCTTACTGCACTTTTCAGATTTTCCAAATGAATTTGGGGATCTAGTTAGTTTGAACTGGTCTCTTGAGCAGCATTTGAAGAAGAGATAGAACTCAGAGCTGACGGAACCACACTCCTTTCTTATTTATCAACTATAGATTCTGTTATCAGAAAAGGAAAGCAAGTAAATTCTGTGAGCTTTCTCATGCTTAATGGTCTGTGAAACATTCAGAAAGGAGGCCATTCCACGAGGAGCATGCTGGGTTCATTGAGATCAAATCATTCCTGCTTGGTTTCCTTTGTGGCCAGGGTGACAAGGAAACCCAGCATGGCCACTCCAGGCTGAATTTGGGCATGACGTTGGTCATACCTGTGCTTCTCCCACAGGCAAGATGGTGGGTTTCATTATGATACATGGTGCAATCAGATTTCCAACTAATGACATTGTCAGATCCAAAGGTGTTAGAAATGAGTTGTTGTTATCCTAGAGGAAAGTTTCTAGAAATATGCCATAGGTTCTGCCCCTAGCCCCAGCATGTTTAATATTCTCAGTGCTTTCAATGACTGTGTAGAAGCTATTGATATTAATTAAAGAAAGTACACAAGCTCAATTATCAAAAAAAAAAAAAAAAGCAATTAAAAAGTTAAATTGTTAGGAGAATTTTCAACAAGGTAAAATTTTAGGTGACTGTTGTTATTGTTGTTGTTTGCCATCGAGTCAGCCCCGACTCATAGCGACCCCTCCTTGGGTTTCCGAGGCAGTATCACTACGGAAGTAGGAATGCCCAGCCTTCCTTCCGAGGAGTGGCTGGTGGGTTTGAACCACCAGCCTTCTGGTTAGCAGTCAAGTGCCTTAGCCACTATGCTACCAGAGCTCCTTTTAGGTGACTAGTAAAGAGAATACTAGCTGGAAGAAACAGAAAGTTTTGGACCTGGTAAACCAAACCAACTGTACAGGTTCTGGGTGAGAGGTATGGCTTTCCAGAGAGGAAATGGTAAGAGTTTTTAGGTAAGGTACACTTTAATTATTTCTACTATGTATCACTATCTGTGAGACCTTAGAGTGTGTGAATGATGGTCTAGCATCTACTGGGACCAGTGGGGTGGGTGGGGTGGGTAGAGATAGTCATCTCTTCTCCATGCTGGAGTGTTCTTTTTGGTTATGAACACAGCACACAGAGAGAAGGAGCCTTGGAGTGTAATTAGAGAACAGAGTCCCAGGGGTAGGAGTTGGGCTGACTTCCACACTGGCAGTGTGGAAGAGAGGGTAAAGTGGTTTGTGTGGTGCTATCTATATGAAGGCCACAGTAGCTCAGGAAGACAAAGCTTTCCAGGAGGCCACCATGGGAATTGGTAGGTTATCTGCTGTCCATGGAAACCTCTTAGCAGACTGGATAGGTAGGACATGTCAGTGGAGTGGCTAAGCAAATGCCTTCCAAAATTCTTTAAGAGTGAAATCATGGTATTATTTAGCTTGTTGTCTAATTTAGAGCAACACTTTAATATATTTATGTGTAATTATAATTTAAGTCATGTTACCTGAATTTTCTTTATAGATTGATTACTTTGGAGTTGCTGCGACAGTGTACTGCATGCTCTTTGGCACTTACATGAAAGTGAAAAATGAAGGAGGGATCTGGAAGCCTGAAGGTCTTTTTAGAAGGTAGGTATTGGCATTGATGCTATAGTGAAAAGAGAAAAAAGATAATAGAAAGTTATATTCCATCTGGTAAAAAATGAATGTCTGCCACTGCATGGAAAACCCATGCCTTGGGCAAGAGGTGAAATGGCACAATCATGGCACTGGGCACAGTGAGCACTGTGACCTTGAGCTAGGCAGACAGTGCCCTTGTAGAATCATTGAAACTTCCTGAGTGGTTGGTATCCCACACACAGTCACGTTTCCCTTTACCGTTTAGAGAAGTCAGCTAATAATTACTGAGCCTCAGGTTTTTGCTTGCTTGTTTGTTTCATGAGTATATAAATTGGAATAGTACTGATCTTACTTTCCTCAAATGCTTATTGTAAGAAGCAAAGGAAATAATGTATGTCAAAGTGCTTCATAAATTATAAAGTAATAATGATGAGGCAGCTAGCTAACTATCACAGGATAGGGCTTTATGCTTCAGCTCTAGGTGAGTTTAGTGTCTCTGAGACTATTTCCTCATCTATAAAATTGCAGTGAAAGTTAGACTAGAGCTTGACTTCTCAACATGAATGACTCTAATGTGTGAACAAACTGTATTGGTCACATTTGTTTAAGCTGAGTATCTGCTACATGGGTGTTTATTATTTATACTTTAAAAGAAAAAAAAACTCTTTTTAAGGTATAAAAACACCAGAATGTACACTTATCTCAAGTATACAGTCTAATGGATTTTTATCAATGTTTACACAAAGTAAATTTAAACTGAATATTCCTCTCTTTACCATCCCCTCCCAAAAAAGATAAAAGAACCAACAATAATTTTATGAAATGTAATATGCTGTACATAGCTTCAGGCCCTGGAGGGAAACTTTATAACAACATAGCATACGCTGCTGAATAAGTCATCAAATTCAGCAAATACTTTATTTTTCCTATTGCTCATAATCAAAGGAACAGATAGTCTGTTATTCAGCAAGGCTTCCAAGTCTTTGGGCTTGCCCATATGCCTACCAGTATGGAGAGAGTCTGAGGAACCTCAGCAGGTCCACTGATAATGGGCTGAATTTTCTGTCTGAAGCACAACTTTAGTTATGTTCAGCTTTGTCACCAGTGCCTTATCTCCATGTTCTTGCATGTCTGTGGTTAACTTTAACAATTACAGTAGTTAGCACTCAAGCCTGAGCTCTGTTCTGCATCCCAGCCTGTGCACCTGGCCCTGGCACATAGGCAGTTAGGCTCTGAAGAGTTGGGCCAGGTTATCAGGTGCGAGCACCAAGTACAGCAAGCCAAGATCAGATATATTTTCTTAAAAAAGTCTTCTAAGAGCTATTACTAAAAGACTGTATTTTAATTATTTTTTTTAGCTTTATTTTCTATTTTATTACATTTTTGGTAAAAATTTACACAGCAAATTAAGTTCCCATTTAATAATTTCTATACAGATTGTTCAGTGACCTTGGTCACATTTTTAACAATGTGTCAGTATGCTCATTATATCCATTCTGGTTGCTCTATTCCCATTTTCTAGCTTCCCCTCCTCCCCACTGCCCCCTTTCCCTTCTCATCTTTTCTTTAGGGTAAATATTGACTATTTGTTCTCATATAGGTGATTATTTAAAGGAACATAATACTTATGGGTGATATTGTTTATTTTATGAACCAATCTCTTATTTGGCTGAAAGGTGACCTCCAAGAGTGATTTCAGTTAAGATTATATATCTTAAATCTTTTTTTTTTTTTTTTAAACAAGACATTTATTTGGATTCTTAAGTTCTCTTATTTATAATAGATTCAATGTTTCCATTCTTAATTGGTGATATTCTAGGTTACATGTAATTTAGACTTGTTATTTAAGCTGTCCAAGCCTATGGAAGTCACATAAAAGAGTAATGAGGTGTATGTGACCATGAGCCTAGAAGAACTAGATGGTGCCCAGCTACCACTGTCCACCACTTGGAAGGGGATCTATGCAGGAGATCCTGGATAGAGAGGGAGAACAATGTGGGATTGTGCATTGTGGGAAATTACAGTCAATGTCATGAGACAAAGTGTGTATGAACTGCTGTATGGAAAGTGAATTTGCTCTGTAATGGGGTGGTAGCATTGGCCTATATGTTGAAGACTACATTTTATCCATTATTTATGCTTTGTTTCTTCAGGCTTCCTCATTTGGATATGTGGAACGAGTTTTTTCACACCATGTTGAATATACCAGACTGTCATCAGCTTCCATCGTTGGACGTTTTAAGGCAAAAACTGAAGAAAATATTTCAGCAACACTATTCAAACAAGATTAGGACCTTGCGTAATAGGTTAATTGTACTGCTCTTAGAATATAAGCGTTCACGAAAATAACAATGGATATGAGCCCTCTCTAGAAATCACTTTGTAAATGCTAACCTCACTTTCAATGTTAATGTTTTCCTCATTTATTATCTGTGTAAATGTTTGTTAAAAATAAAGTCCACAACTGTATTCATGTGACTTAGTTGTAGATATTTTAACAAAGTCTGCACAGTGGCTTACTGGGCTCCTTTGACTACAAGCACTCCAGAGAATCATTTGGATGTAAATGCTACCTAGAAATCCCTTTTTAAAAACAAGATCTATTCATTTTGCATGAAAAAAGGGTCAAGATTGCTTTTTTTTTTTTTTTTTTTTTCCTCTCCAAAATTAGAGGTCTTGTGTTTGTATAAAACACAAAAGTCTTCCAATGGGACTTAAAATGCTTATGAATAAAGTTTGTCTGTTCTTTATCATTCCTATTCTTCATTGCTACCCATAAGAAATACAATTGTAAATTCAAATGCTTTTATTTTCCCTTTTTCAAAGGAAAATCTCAGGTCTTGAAAACTGTCTTAGAATCTGTATAAATCATTGAAGTATAAAACTATGGCACCCAACTTAAAACTTATTAACTTTGAAAGCTGTGAAGGGTCCTAAACCCGAACTGACCATCCTTCCTTCTTTCCTTCTTAGTATTTTAATGAAAACAAATCTGATATGGTAGAAAATTCAAGAGTACAAAGTAAAGTGCTTCTTCTACCTTTGTTTCCACTTACCATGTTTCCTGTCCCAGAGGCAACCACCATAACTACTTTTTTTTTAATTTTTTTTAACATTATTGTGATTTGGGTGAAAATTAACAGAAAAAATTCACTTTACTGCAATTTCCCACAATGCAACAGCTCCCTCCCCCCATTTCCTCCCCATAGTTACCTCTTGCCTGTGTCCTTCCCTCCCATGCACTCCTGCCCCACGAGCTGTCTCCCTGTGCATACACAGTCCTATTCTCCCATGATTGTTCTCTCCAAGCAGCATATCTACCTACTGTAAATGTTTAGCCCGTGTGCCTGTCTTTTGTTTGGCTGGAAGCCACAGGAGTGGGTTCAATTCCAGACCTGAAGGGCAGCTAGGGGCCATAGTCTCAGTGGTTCTGTCAGGCTCTATCAGACCAACAAACCTGGTCCTTTTTTATTTTTTAAATGATTTTGAGTTTTCTCCCACTTTGTCCAGGATCTCCTACATAGACCCCCCTCCCAGTTGTTGACAGTGATAGCCGGGTACCATCTAGTTCTTCTGGTCTCATAGTCATATAGGCTGAGGATTACATGGTGCACCAGTTGCTTGGACTAATTGTTTCCATGCATCTTTGGTTTTCTTCATTCTTTGCTCTGGACAAGAAGAGACCCATCATTGCATCTAGATGGCTGCTTGCAAGCTTTTGAGATCCCAGTTGTTACTCACCAAAGTAGGATGTGGAACAATGTTTTTGTGTAGTATATTATGGCAATTGAGCTTGATGTTGCAGCTATGGTCCCAAGCCCACAGGTCCAACTACTGGCTCCCTCAGGGTAGCTGGCTGTGGCCAAGAAGTGACTACAACCTGTTCCTTGTCAGCTCTATATATACCTGGGAATTCTTACAGAACATACAAATACACTTGCAGAAACCTTGTCTCCCAACCCTATACATGTTCATGGGCACACTCCACCATAACCTACTTTTTATGAATCCTTCCAAAAATGATTCCATGCATATTTGTATAGACTATATGTTTTATACAACTAACATATTTCTGAATCTTGCTTTTTTCACTTAACATATAGCAGAAAATATAACAGTATGTGTAGAATGGTCTCATTCTTTTTAATGGCTGTGTAATTATATGGCACATCTAGTATAAATCTCTAGAAGTAGAATTACTGGGCCAAAGGGTGAATGCATTTAAAATTTCCAATCAATATTTTTGAATAATCCTGAGGGATTGTACCAGCATATATTAAAAGTCCCTGTCTCCCCACACTATCATTGATAGAGGTCAGACTCTTTGGCCTTTGACAATCTTGACAGGTGGAAGAATATCTCCTGATAGTTTTAATTTGCATTTATTTCCCTTATGAATTAGAGCAAATATATTTGTATATTTAAAACCTATGTGGTTTTTCTATGAGCACTATTCTCTGCCTGTTTTTCAGTTGGATTATCTTTTTCTTGTTGATTTGTAGGAGCCCTTTATATATGAGGCACAGATGTTTGTCCCAGTTGTCATTTGTCTTGAGTTTTCATAAAGTTTTTGATAGGAAGCTTTTGCTTGTATTGTTTGCATTTTTTTTTTTAAATTTTGTTTGTAAAGTTTAAATGGCTTTTAGGTTTGTTTTGTTATGGATTGAATTTTGTCCCAAAAAAATAAGTGTTGTAAATCCTAACCTTTATGTGTGCGGTTATAATCTCATTTGGGAATGAGTTGTCTCTGTTATGTTATGAGCCAGGATTAGGGTAGGGCGTATCTTGAGTCCATTTTGTGAGATATAAAAGACATTAAACAAGCATGCAAAAAGCAGAGATAGGGTAAGAGAGATGCCAAGCCACATGGAGATCTCCAAGGAACCAGGAAACAGAAGCTGAAGAGACAATGATCTTTCCCTAGAACCGACAGAGAGAGAAAGCCTTCCCTGAGAGCTGGCACACTGAATTTGGACTTTGAGCGTCCTAAATTGTGAGAAAATTAATTTCTGTTTATTCAAGCCATCCACTTGTGGTATTTCTGTGAATAACACACTAGATTAGATAACTAAGACAGGTTTTGTGCCTTAACAAGCCAGACTCAATTGAAAAGTAAAAAATATAAATAAATAATAGTTTTTTTTATACTAGTATTAACCACTCCTCGGAAGGAAGGTTGGGCAATCCTACTTCCGTAGTGATACTGCCTCGGAAACCCAAGGAGGGGTCACTATGAGTCGGGGCCGACTCGACGGCACATAACAACAACAACAAACACTAGGACAAAACTTTTTGGTTGTTATTTTAAATAGGTTCTTTTTTCCCCATTTTTTCTAGCTGGTAGTTTGTATACAGCCTGTTGAGTTCACCAAAAGCTTTTTAGCTGATTTTTTTTGGAGTTTCCAAATACCTAACTTCATTATGAAAATAATGCTTATTTTATGTGATAGTTCTTTTGTCTAATTACTGCCTTCAGAAGATGGTTAAATAATGATGAACATCCATGTCTTCTGTTTAGTGGGAGGTATTCTAATGTTTATCCACTAAGTCTAGTGATAGCAGCTTAGAGGTGGAGGTAGTTATTCTTCATCAAGTTACAGCAGTATTCATCCTTCCATTACAAATAAATATGAACATACATAAACACTAATTTACAGCTTTCTTGCTCATCTTTCCAGCTATATTGATCCAGTTGTATACCATTCCTTTATATAGATGTACTGTAATTTATTTAACCATCCCTTATTTAGAGACACTATTGATTTCAAAATTTTATTGCTACGAATCAGTGAGTACAGGAGCAAATCTCTCTTATGGCATAAGTTACTAGGATGGGATTTGCTAGTTCAGAGGATAGATACATAAATCTTTAAACAGATTTCTCTGCTGGAAGGTCACTTCAGTGTATATTTACTACAAAGTACAAGAGCAGCTTTCTCCAGAGGCTCGTCCACTACGTGTTGTCAAATTTTGGGAGTTTTGTTCAGGTGAAAAGTTATGCTTTGTAGTTCAGCTTGCATATTTCTTATGACTGATGTTGGACATCCTTTCATGTGTATATGTTTTATATTTCCATTCATAGTCCATTTATGTTTCCTTTTTTTCTTAAGTTATCTATATTCTTTGCCCTTTCTTATGGGGTGTTGCTTTAAAAAATCTATACGATCTCTCTATATCATGAAACATTAGTACTTTATCATGAGTTAGAATTAGTTTTTCCAGTTTGGTTTGGTTTTTAACTTCATTCATAGTGGTTTTTGCATTCAAAAACTTTATTTTTTAGGTGATTGTGTTAGGCTGGGTTCTCTAGAGAAGCAAAACCAGTAAAGCTTATAGTGAGAGAGAGAGAAATTTATCTCAGGAAAATGGCTCACACACCTATAGAAGCTGGCAAGTCCCAAGTTCTTGGACCAAATGTCAAGCTGGAGGCTTTTCCCAACTTTTCCCAATGCACGCAGCTGCAGGGGCTGACGAGCTCAAGGTTGGCAGGCAGTATATACCAGCTGTTGACTCTGACAAATGACAAATCCAAGATTACCAGGCCGGATGGTGGATTGTTCACTCACGGACAGTTGTAGGCAGCACAACAGAATCTCAATCCACAGAAGAGTGTCTCATTTTCCCAGGATGTCCATATATATATGCATATATATACTGGAAGCAGGCCACACCCCTAGGGGAACTCACTTTCAACTGATTGGCTGCTCAAAACATGCACATCTGATATCATGGGACTAACCCACATCACAACTGCTTAAACCACTCAGAATCATAGTCCAGCCAAGCTGACACACAACCCCAACTATCACAGTTATATATCAATTTTTTCCTCTGTTTTCTGGATTTTGTGCCATAGTTATTTGGAAATGCATTCCCCCTCCAAGATTATAAAAGAATTCTGTCATGTATTCTAGTACTTTGGTCTTACTGCATTAAAATCTCTATTAATGTTCTATTGCTATGTAACAAATGAAAAATTTAGCAGCTTAAAACAACATCTGTTTATTATCTCAGTTCTGTAGGTCAGCTCTGCAGGACGCAGTTGGGTTCTCTGTTTCAGGTCTCTCTTAAGGCCAGAGTTAAGGGACTAGCATGCTAGACTCATATCTAAAGGTTTTGGAGAAAATTTGCTTCCAAGTTCATTCAGGTTGTTGGCAGAATCCAACTCCTTGTGGTTGTTGAACTAAAATCCCTGTTTCATTGCTGGCACTGCTCTCAGCTTCTCAGAATCATCTTTTCTTCTTACACATGGTCCCCTCCATCTGCAAAGCGAGCAACAGTGAGTCAAATCCTCATACTTTGAATCTCTGTGATCTCCACTGCCACCAGCCTGAAAAAACTTGGTTGTT